TGTGTCACTGACACTTTTGCTTCTGTGTTTTTGGGCATCTCCCTTTCTGAACTGGGGTGAGTTGATTTTTGCTGGTCAATGCATGGCAGCACAACATGGGATAGCATCTCACTGAGATGCGGTGCTTCCTATGGTGGTTCTTTCAAGTCAAGGCAAGCACAGATCATAGTGAGGCTGACAGTAGTTGTATTCCTTGGTTGGTAAACTGAGTGCATTGTTGTATATATGCCATTTCTTGGTGGCTACTGGGTTCTTTGCCTCTTAGAAGTTCCTTTGCCCTTCTGGATTCCACTGCAGTTGAAATAGCTCATTCTTCTGTCATTTCATGCAAATACTTCTAAGGTTACATTTGCATGAGCAGCAAACACAGACTGTATGAACACTGCTCCATATGATGAGCTGTTCTTGTGTTGCCATTAATCTCCTGCATCTGCCATCTCCTCCATAAGATAGTAACTGGCAGCTGGTGCACAATGTGGCATGTGGGTGAGAAAAGAGCATGGGGTGACAGACAAAGCCAGGGCTAAAATGGATAGTATTATAGGCATGCTTGCACACAGAAGCAGGCATTTATTTGCATTTGTTCACTCCCCAACCCATTTATTCACCCTAGAACTCAGCTGAAGAGCATTTCCTTCTCCTCGAATCCGAAATGGTCCTACCTGCATTTCCTTTCCTCTTCTCCCTACAGCTGCAGACCTTCACTTCTTTTGGATTTCATTTGGCCGCAACATGTTATTTGTGTGGATGAGGCTTACAGTTTTCTCTTATTGCTGGCTTTCCTTTTCTCCCTCTTAACCTACAAACTGCTCCTGGCTACATAGGCAGCTTTGTTTTATACAGTACATTTCTTCCTCCTTTTCATGAGGAAAAGGATATGCCTTCTTAGTTCTCATGTTGTATGTGCTGCCTCCAACAAAACCTTTTTTTGCATTCTGTGACCATCTGAAACTCAGCAGCCTTTTCTATACATTGACCATAAGGGAGGTTTCTTAACTTTGCTCTCTGTGGCAATCAATCAATCAATCAATCAATCAATCAATCAATCAATCAATCAATCAATCAATCAATCAATCAATCAATCAGTCAATCAACAACAACAACAATAGATTGGACCCAAAATGAATTAGAAGAATTGGATCAAAACTAATGAACATACATCACACATTACATCAAAAAAGTGATTATATTTACCTCAAAAAACTGGAGGCCATGGATTACTGCAAGTACAGCAGGTTGTAGAGAAGAAAAAAGAAGCATAAATGATCATATTAGTACAAGTAGAGAAAAATTACTCAAGGTGGTGAAAAGAGAATATTTTGAAAACAACAGAAACAAAGACTCAATATCAGAAATGACAATTTGAAAATACAGTAAATTAAACAGTTTGAAAAATAAACCACTACGTGTACAATATCTGAGAAATATTGATGGAAGGCATGACAGTAATTATATAATACCAGTCAATGTTTTTATAATTTTGATTGACTATGCCTGATATATTTGAATAATAAAAATAATAATAAATTACGCTCTACACCAGGGTATTCCAATAAAATCAATGATGTGTATGTGCATGTTTATATTACTTACCTGTACATCAGCATAAGACTCTCAGAATAAGGAGTGATCAAGAAGAATTATAGTGACTCTTTTCTAATTCATTGCAGTGGTTCATATGATACCTGAATTAAATTCAAAATGATAAATTAAAAGTTGCTATTTTCTTTTTTTAAAAAAAGTTCTCCCCCCCTCCCCATTGCTGTACAAATTGTGTAAAAACTTTAAAGAGGTATGGACAAAGGTAGTTGAGTTAATTTAGTCTCCTTTGTTGTCTGAGCAAAATAATTAGGGAGCCAAAAGTTAAACTGGCTAGAAAACATTTTCTTTTAATCCTGATGAAGAATGCCTGTAGTTTTAAAGCTTGCAAAACTTAAGAAAAAGCAGGACTAGTAAGCACAAGATTTCACTTATTCTGTAATTCTCATTCTGCAGGTCCAGTACAGCCGACCCCTGGAATTGTTCAGAGATCAGTGGATGTGATATTTCCCTAAGTCTCTGTTCAAATGGGCCTTTGAACAGGGCTCTTTTTTTTCTTCCTCCCATGGAATTAACATGATGTTTCCCTTGTCTTTGCAATGCAAAATCAAATTTAAGAGGGTTGTAAAACTACAATACTTTTGGGGGTAAATGTTGAGATACATGCTATCTATTCATCAGTTATGTGTTGTCAAGTTGGAATGGACTTTTAAAGACGTTAATAGGGTTTTCAAAGCATGTGAGACATTTAAGGATTGGTTTTTATCAGTTCCACACCCCAGTGAATGTCCATGGTCAAGTGAAGATTTGAACCCTGTTCTCCAGAATGCTTGTCCGTCATTCTGTCCACTATACGCCCAGCCATTCATAGTTGGCTGATTTTACGAGTACTGATTTTAGTTGTACAGACCAGCAGAACTATCCTCTGAGTTCAATACTTCAAACTGAACTCAAAACAGAAGATTGTTTGTTGGTCCACAATTGATTGCGTGCTTATCTACAAGGACTAGGCTAACCAAATAATGTAGGTTCATTTATACCGTATACAGTATTTTATATGTAGTTCTGGATGTGACAATCTGTACTCCTAAGGCCAAGTGAGTAAATACCATATTTTTGCCATTGTATTTGAATATTTTCAGCAGTAAGACCTGCTTAACTTGAATGGTTTCACTTCGATTTTCTCCACCACTCTGGTGACATGATGTAACCCTAATGGAAGGAACGAATTTCATTTCATAATTCATAAGAATTGTGAAACATCACCTTTTTTATAGAAGGGCAAGAAAAAATAGGAAATAAAATAATAACAGTTGCCAAATTTTGTCAACTGTCTATGAATAGTGAAGCTATGTATAGGTTGCAATAACATACTTTGGTATAATAATTGTTTTGTTCCATAAAACCAAAATAGAAGTCAAAGAGTTGGTTTCAATAGGATAAAAATTATGTTGCTCAGAGCGCTTCTGTATAACAAAAAGGGAAGGGGATGATTGTGAAATTTAGCTCTGAAGAAGGGCACATCTGAGCCACTATAAGATGGCACCATCTTGTTAGGCTTGGCCATGGATTTTAGAACAGTTATTTTGAGACATGGTAACACATGTTCTGGCCACATTCCATTTAATGTGTGTGGAGTGCTTAGCAATACAATGCCACAGGGCAAGGAAAGTTGTTATAATTTGCTATCTTTTCTGGTGTTGCATTACTGATCAACACAAAACTTTGGAATAATTAAAATAATGTTTTAAAATGGTTGAAGCTAGATAAAAGTTATGCTGCTCACCTCTAGTGATGTAAAACAGGTGCTATTTATTTAATACACTCTTGAGACACTGCCTTAAGTCCTTTGTGTCTTGTATGTGGAACAGCAATGGGAGCACAAGCCTGTATGGAAAATCTAATATTCTCAGTGACAAAATGCTAGTGCTCAGAAAATGTAATCTGCCTGGAGTTCATATGCAACCTAGAACAGGTTGCATTTGAGCTACAAATGCCAAACTATTTTTATTGTGCAGCCAAATGACTGAGTGTCCTTCTAGATCATATCCCACTCTAGTCACCAATATGGGTTTGTTATTTTCAGAAAGCATGGTCAATGTTGATGTAGTTATTAGAACAGTTCAGTCATATCCTTAGCCATTCAGCTCTTTGGGTGGCTATGGGTCATTTACAGTCTCTTGGCCTTACCCACTCTGTTGCGAAAATACACAGTACATTGTCTGTGCTTGTGTTTGCACAAAACCTTGTAGCCATCCTGAGGTTTTTTTAAAGCAAGCAAGTGATAATCAAAAAATTGATGAGTAAAATTATTTGCCATGTCATATGCGTGCAGAGTTCTTCCCTAATAGTATCCTGTGCTCTCGAAATCCCGTAAGTTTTAATTTCCATTTGTGAGAACAGCCACTTTTATCTTCTCTTCTTCTCTCTTCCATTGGCAGTGCAGAGCTGAAAAATTAGCTCAGGCTCTGCTGAGGGTCATTATAACCTGTGAAGATAAGTGTGTCTAATTTGTCTGGAAATGTTCTGTGGAGATGCACTGCTAGATGTTGTCCATTGGCCATCAAGGACTTGTGTTACAGATCTTGACAATTCATTTTTTCTTGTTTCTCCTTTTCTTTGAAATACCTGGATGCTCAGATTGCATGGTTGATGCTCAGGTATAAAGCCCTAAACGGCTTAGGGCCTCGATACTTGGCGAAACACCTACTTCCACCAAGTTCTACCCGTGTCACTCGCGCGAGTCAGGAGGTGAGGCTGAGGAGCCTAACGCCGAGGGAGGCCCGGAAAGAAAAGACAAGAAATCGGGCCTTCTTGGCGGTGGCTTCTCGCCTCTGGAATAACCTTCCCCCTGACATTTGCGCGGCTCCCTCGCTGGGTATTTTTAAAAAACAATTAAAAACACTGATGTTTCGACAGGCCTTCCCCTCAACCAATTCCTGATTTTCCTTCTTTTTTCCTCTCTCCTAATGTCTGTTCCATCTTGTCCAAAGTTTGTCCCTTTTAAAAAATTATTTTAATTATATTGTATCACGCTTGTTGTAAGCCGCCTAAAGTGGTCTTAAGTGACTAGATAGGCAGGATATAAATAAAATAAATAAAATAAAAATAAATAAATGGTCTTAATTGTTTCCACTTCAGGTACTTTTGCTTCCACCTTTAATCTCCCCACTTCCCCATCTTGTTCCTTCCATGGTGGAGGTGCTCCGTCTGCCCAACGTGCCTGCTGGAATAATTCCTTCCCCTTTCTTTGCTTCTTGAAATGAAGCCACAGGCTGTTTCTCCTCATGTCGCAAACAGGGCTCTGATTTCCAGTCACTGCCGAGAAGGCTGCATGTTTTACCCAGTCTTTCTTACTTCCTCCCCTTTTGGAGAAGTTTCAGTGCTTAACGGCTGCTGCTTATAGGAGGCTGCAGCCAGGCCATGTGTTGCCATAGAAACAAGCCACATGCTTCCTTCCTGCACAGGAAGGGGACCTGGTCACAGTACAGACAACAGCTATTTTTAAGTGTTGTGCAGTCAAGAAATTAGATGATATTTGCAGCTGGATTTATCGGCAGTATTTTTTTAAAAAATATATTCAATTATAAGCTCAATTCAGGTATTTTCCTTAATTGCTTTTTTTCTAAGTGTCATATTTAGCGTGATCTTAATTGCTGTAAATCCCTGTATATGCATGAAATATTTGAGTTTTTTTTTTTTAATGTAATGGTATTGATCAGGGCCGAAGCAAATTGCAATAGCTTGTGGTCAGTGTTGGGCTGCATGGGGCTGGCTGTTTCATTTGTGGTGCTGATCTTTGTTCTAGCATGAAGAGGCTTGTTATCAGAAAGTGGTTGCTAGGAGGGATTCTTTGTGACTCTCGGAGCTGTGGGAAACATTTTGTCATAAAAAGGATTTGGGGACTATATAGACAGAACAGAGATTTTGCTGATCATGCATGTTAATATTTTATTTAAAAATAACTTTGAATTTAATTGCAGAGATCAGCCCTACCACATCTTTAAAAAATAAAAAATCCTAGAGTGAAACTGTCAGATCGTGGCCTGCAGAATGCAGAGGGTTTACTCATGGAACCCCCACACTGGGCACAAGGGCTGTATAGTGCAATATAGGTGTGGCTACTTTATGCACAGATCTGTTGTTGCCCCCACTAAGAAAATCCCTGGGTTCTAAGATGTGCCAAAGGTGACTGGGGTTCTGCTGGCAGAAGCTGATAGAAACCATAAGCCGTTAAATCGGAATCTCAAAACAGGAAGAATATGTGCAAACGTTTTCTTGATTTACCCTTTCCTCCCCACTTCCTTTTGTGCTGTGACTTTCTAGATTGTAGGCTGAGGGCAGAGACTAGTTTGTCTTTTTTGTTGATACAGAAGGTGATCTGAGAGGCTTTCTTATGGTAAAGTGAGATAATAAAATAAATGGATGTTGCTGGGTTCTCTCATGGCCATTGCTGGTATCTGTGGCTCCAGCTGGCTAAACAGTAATAGGAGAGAGAAGCCCCTTAATAAGGTATGTTGACTCCTCCGAAGACAGAGAAAACGTTGCCTGTCTCCCTCAGATGCTGGCTAGGATGTATACCACTGGCATGAGGTTCCATTGTGCAGCCTCTGCTCTTCGTAGCTGAGAGAACATATTATTGGTAGGTCCTGTGGGAGGTGAGTCTTAAAAATCTACATACAGAGATAGTTGCTAAACCATGGTATTGGATACGTTCACGCCAAAACTCTTAGTGGCTGTTGCCGTTGTTCTTGCAGCAGTGGAAAACCAGTGGAGTGTAATGGTTACAGTGTTGGACTGAGGCTCCAGGTTCCAGACCCCAGTGAATTGTGAAACGCTGGGTGACTTTTGGCCATTCACTCTCTTTTCATCCTCTCGAGATGGTTGTACTAGTGACTAAAGTACTGTTCTGTTCCCAGCAGAGGCCCAACTCATATACACTATCTGCGAGTTTTACCTTCTGAAGCCGGGCCACCATGACTGAGAAGGAACCAGAAGTGCACGTGGAAGACGATGAGGACGAGCTAGACACAAAACTCAACTACAAGCCCCCACCCCAAAAGACACTTCAGGAACTGCAGGAGCTGGACAAGGATGACGAGAGCCTTGCGAAATACAAGAAGACTCTGCTAGGGGATGGGCCTGTAGTGGCAGGTATGGCTCAAGGATCTTGATAGAGGTGCATTTGCTTCAGGACATTCAGAGTAAGGGACGTGCTGTCAATATTGGCAAACATTGAGTAGAGGAACTACTGTGGGTCACAGATGGAGAGTTTTCAGAAGGACCAACTTTCCAACCAGGGGAATGGAACCATCCTGGCAGACTTAGGGCCAAAGTAAATGAGATATCACTTTTGCAATTAGAAGGTGATAAAATGCTATCTTCCACAGAGGTGCTCTTTCAAAGGTGTTGTGTCTGTGTAAAGCCTTACTTACAAGATGACCAGGGACCAGACAAGAGCAAAATAATTTGCAGCTTGTGGAACTGTGGAAATTTCATGGCAGGATAAATACATTTCCTTTACCGCTTAGAAAAGCTCTCATTGTGAAGCTGGTGTGTCTCAATTTGGCCCTTTGTTCATCTGGATAAATTTGCTATTGCAAAATATTAATTTCTGAATTGGTTGCTTCAGGATGGTCTGGATTTTGTCATCTCCCTAGTCTTATTCAGGCATTGATATTTTAATATATTTGCCATGCAAGCAGGGCAAATGCTCAAGTCCTATCTCTGATTTAGTTGCCTTAAATATGTTAAGGGTGACAAGCATGAACAGGAGAAGCTCCACTGTTCATGGAAAATTGAGATTTCAGTTGAGGTGGAAAGACAGTGGGGACTCCCTCTTTAGACTGGTCAAAATCCATGTGCTTGGGGAAGCAAAATTAGAAACAAACACTGTGCCCAATTGCTTGGTGTCTATCACTTGACTGTTAGTGCACGGATAGGGCTTTGCCTCTCAGTTTTTCTTTTCAGCTGGTGCCTTCTCTGATTTACAGCAATAGAGTGCACGCATGGTATGTGGAAGGGCCTAACCCCCAGCATTTTAATTAAAAAGACGGGATCTGGCATTGGTGAGAGAGTCTTCTGCTCCGAATACTGGAGAGCAGCTGATAGCGCTACAAGTCTCCTGCAGGGTGCATTTCATCATTGTGAGGCATAAACTAAGTTAGGTATTGGGGGAGGGAAAGTGTGGCCCTCTAGACTACAGTTCCCATCATCCCTCACCACTGCCCTGCTGGCCAGAGGTGGTGGGGTGGCAGTTCAAAAGCATCTGCCGTAGGGATGTGAATCTTACTGCCTATTTTCAGGGAGATATTGAGAGAAAAAATTGTCCCTTTTTCTTTGCAGTGAGAGATCTCTGCAGAAATCCACAGGAAATGTCCTGGGATTTCTTGGAGATTTGGGCGGAAAAGGACTTGGATGTATTCAGAAGACTGCACAGGCTCCAGTTTTAAGCAGTATATTCACTAGCAGGAAGACGTACAGCTCATGCAATTGTCTGAATCAAGCAGAAATTGAAAGTAGTACTGTACGCTGCAAGGAAAGAAGGGAATAAGTGAATGTCACCCAAGTCCCCCCGCATCCAGAAAATGAGTATATCAGGGGAACAAAGGTTCAGCCTAGCCGTTCTGTGATGTGTTAGTATGCTATCTGACAGGAGGTTTAAGTAGGAAGTCTGTCGTTTTGGTGCAGTTTATTCCATTCAGTCTGCAGGTTTCACCAGTTAGCCCTAACTCCCCTTCAACTTGTTGTTGGGCATCGACTTCTGAGGAAGCATACAGTTAGCCCTAACTCCCCTTCAACTTGTTGGGCATCAACTTCTGAGGAAGCATATTTTTGACAGTGCTGTGTTTGGTCTTTCACCAGAGAAGCATGTGGCTGTTGGTAGTGTTCCCTGAGAGACTCCATATCTTGTGGGTAGGGAGTTGATTTGGAGGTACTGCAGGTTTTTGGAAAGCAAGGCTTCTTCACAGAGAGGTGGGCGCTGCAGGAGTCTTTGAGGAGCCTGGCGGAGAATCTGGCCTAGCTTTCTCCTGGTTTGGTTGACCAATAGTCTGTCTTCCTTTTCTGTGACCCCGCAGATCCATCCATTCCTAATGTAACCGTTACTCGACTCACTCTAGTATGCGACAGTGCTCCAGGGCCAATCACCATGGACCTCACAGGTAGGTGACACGGTTTTCCTTTCCTCGCATGGATCAGGCCTTCAGCCCAAGGAGAAATACATCGGCCTCGTTTCTTGATTTACCTCATTGCAGATATGAATCCCTAGGCTGTGGGGTGGGGAACCTGTGGCTGTCCAGGTGTTGTCGGACTCCAAATCCCATGACAGTGCTCCAGGGCCAATCACCATGGACCTCACAGGTAGGTGACACGGTTTTCCTTTCCTCGCATGCATCAGGCCTTCAGCCCAAGAAGAAATACATCAGCCTCATTTCTTGATTTACATCATTGCAGATATGAATCCCTAGGCTGTTGGTGGAGAACCTGTGGCTGTCCATGTGTTATCGGACTCCAAATCCCACGATGTTATGCAGCATGGCCAGGGATGGGGATGGTGGGAGTTGTAGTCTGGCAGCATCTGCAGGGCGATAAGTTCTCCCTGAAGACTTAAATGGGCCATGTTCCACTAGATGGTGAAATCTTTCCCTGCATCCCCTGCAGAGTGTGAGGGGCTTTTTTACATAAAAATGTTAAAAGCTGTTTGGGCAGCTGGGTTTCAGGTGCTGCCTGTGAGATGCTGTTTGCCTCTCCTGATCTAGTCCATTATCCTGTTGTCCAGCATGCCCAAGCAAATGCTGCTAAGCAGACACCCAGCAGCTGGTATTCAGTGGTATGTTGTCTCAGAAGAGGGAGGTTACGTAGAACTTGCAGAGGCTGGTGAACTGATGCTGAATGATTTATCCTTTGGGAAGTTATTCCTTTCAAGGCAGTGTAAGCCAGCCAGACGTCTGTGGTGCAGTAGCAACTTTCTTAATTATGCTTATGTGAAGAGGACTTTTTAAAACGTATGAATTTAGTATAAAGCGGCTGGATTCCTGTTGGTCTATGTGTAACGGTTGTATGACTCAGTGCTGCTAGCTGTGGCTAATTTATAAGATGCCAGTGCACATCTCGTCTGTCTTCTTGGGTGCATGACAAGCTACACAACCAAGATGCACCCCAGGACCATGTCTAATAGCAGCAAACCTTACACACTTATAGCGACCCTAATAGAGCTTTCAAAGTAAGTGAGATATTTAAGGAGTGCGTTTACCAGTTCCACCCCTCCAGTGAGTTTCCATGGTTGAGGAGGAATTTGAACCCTTTTCTCCAGAGTCATAATCTCACTCTATCCACTACACCACACTGAGAATCCAAGTCAAAGGTAGCCCATTGTAAAATACATTACTTTGAAAATCTGCTTTACCCCAACTGTTTTGGGAATTGCAGCTAAGTTCAGAATTGCAGCTGAGTTCCGGAAACTTGAAGGGGGCAGGTGAGTCCTTTATCCCTGACAATAAAAACCACTTAGCATTTTTGCAATTAGTGCAGGGTAGGGAGGAGGTAGGTGAATTTGTAGGTGGAATCAAGTGACACTTGAACTGGGGACTTCGTGGTTCTTAGTTGAGACCCCCAGCTCATATTTTTACTGGACACATAGATGGGGGTCACGTTAAGTACTGGAGCTGCTGCAGCAGTACATCACAGTAGAATGACAGTACATCATAGATGCTGCAGTTGCATTCTGAAGACTGTGTTAAGGAGAGGTCAGACTACACAAGAATGAAATGGGTAGATGGCAGACCTGGCTCATAGTTGATTTGCAAGAGGTAGGAAGTATTTCTGACTCCCAATAATTTAAAAAGTAGCAGCAAAACAATTCCCCTTCTCATTGCCCCCCCCCCAATCACACTGCTGAACTGGAGAGTCTGGTGTAACCTAAAGTGTGTTTTTATAGAAGGAGTGTGAGCTTTGTTCATTTCTGAACTCAGACTTTTAAAATTGTCATTGTTATGTGGGCTTCAGTCTTGGATAAAAGGGTAAGAAAACAAGGAGATCCTGCAGACACAAAGTCTGCCTACCACTAGATGATTTTAAAAAATCTCCTCCAACTCTAAAATTCCATGTTACATCTCAAGAATAAGTTGTAGACACTCTTGCCAGAGTCTTGCATCTTAGCATTTTGAAATGTATACAGGACAGTGTTTGGTCAGTCTCTTTCTTGCTGGCACAGCATTAGAGCAGCCCCCACTTTTTTTTGCAGAGTTCATCAGTCGTCTGTGTTCCTATAAATTCATCATCACCCAGAGGGAGTTACTCTTCACCTTATATGGACTTCTTGCTGCTTTTCAGCCTTTTGGCTATCAAGTATAATACGGGTTCTTCTCTGTAGAGAACGGAAGTCAGGACTTAGCAAAGCAGAGATATTTCCTCTGCAACTGAAATCTCTAGGGGTGGCAAAACCACAAACTTTTGTTTAACAAAAACAAAACAAAACAAAAACGCAGTCACTATGAGGTGCTCTTAAATTGCTGTTGTTCCCACCTAGGAACAGGTCCCTCCTTATACATGTGCTAGTTTTACCAGGAGGCTTCGCACAAAAGAATCCTCCCAAGGAGCATGCTCATTGTTTCTGAGATCAGTGGGATGGCACAGGTGTATCCATATGCACAAACACACAAGTTCACAGGAACAAACATTTGTACTTAAAGAATACACACACTTTCACATCTGCATATTCATCTGAATCCAGCAATTGCTAGCATATTTATCTGGGACTTCATAGGGACTCCCCTGTGAGCCATAGGACTTGCTGGTTGGCTTTGGGCTGGTCATACCCTGTCATAGAAACATAGAATAATGGAGTTGGAAGAGGCCTATATGGCCATCGAGTCCAGTGTCATTTCTGTCTACCTCATAGGGTAGTTGTGAGGGTTATGTAAGGAAGGAAAAGCCTTGTTCACCATCGAGATTTTATAGGTGGAAAGACAGGATATAAATGCAGCAAAGTATAGGGCAACTCAACTCTAGAGACATTTTAAACTAGTTAAGTAGCCCTCTAATTTCCCCATAGGATCTTGTTCTTTGAAGAGGCTGTAGGTGTAGGGAAGAGAGTGCGAAGAATTTACGAACAGAGAAGTCTTCAGTAGAAGTCTATTGAAGCAATGTGCATATTTCTTTAGAAAAAGTTATCATCATTTTCTTTGAAACATTTATGCAATACCTTTCATCAAATTGGGTTGCAGACAAACTGGAATGAAATTGCTATATACAGTATTTGCCCTTCATATAAGTTTAATGTATTCATGTGTGCACAGTGCACCAATTTGCTGCGGGTCAGGATGGAGAATGTATTCCAGAAGATTAATTGATTCTCTCCCCCCATTTTGACAGGGGACCTTGAAGCTCTGAAGAAACAAACCTTTGTATTAAAAGAAGGAGTAGAATATCGAGCCAAAATCCACTTCAAAGTAAGTCACTTTTCCCAACGATGTTTTCCATGGTTTTCCACTACAGTACTAGCTTATGTCCCGTTGTATGTATGCCTGTACTGAAGCCTCACTGAATGCAGAACTGTGCTTGGCCTGGTCTCAAGGGCCATATCTGGCAATCTAAAAAGTTTTTTTTTAAAAAAACACACACCACCCTGCTGAATAGTAATCTCTATGTAATGTGGACGTGCAGCTGTCGGCTGTACCCATAACTGGGTGAGATGTCTCTACAGATTCTGATATTCCTAATGTCCACCATGTGGTTATGGCAATCCATCCACCATCCTTTCTGTTATCTTTAAAACCAAAACCCTTCATTTCACAGTTATTTAGTAACGTGTTCTGACAATTTTTTTTCAAGTTCTGTCAAACTAATGGGGGAATTGTTTGCAGAAAAGCGTAATTAAGTTTCATAAATGGCCTGACCAGAAATAGCAAATCAAGGGGAAATCTTGTTTTTCACTATGAATGCAATTAGAGTAGTGACAGATACTGTAGTGTCTATTGTGGCTGGTGGGGCAGAAGACAGAGGCAGTAGTGGGCAGATGTGAAAAGTGGGCTGTTAAGCCAATTCCGAATTGTGGCAAATATTTTTTCAGAGTTTTCCAGGCAAAGAATATTTACAAGTGGTTCGCCCTTCCCTTCTTCAGGGGATGTCCTGGGGCTGTGCAGTTTGCCCAAGGCTACACAGGCAGTTGCCTTTTCCCAAGGGTGCAGTGGGGAATCAAACTCCCAAACTCTGGCTCTTCAGCCAGGAGCCAACTCACTGAGCTACATCAATTTGGTAAACATCTAATGTAGAGGTGGGGCATCATTTCTTTATTTTATCTCTAGAAGCCCCCTCCCTCCAAGGGAGAGTGAAAGGTGGCAAGACGTGAAATGGAAAGGGAGGAGAATGAGGTGGGAGACACAAAGGAATAGAAGACTGTATTATTCTTAGGGAAAGAGGCTAACTAGCTTAAGCCTGAATTGTGCAGCCTCAGCAGCTTCTGCTTTTCTCTTGTAGGTAAATAGAGAAATTGTATCTGGCTTGAAATATGTGCAGTTCACTTATCGGACAGTAATGAAAGGTGAGTAAACAAACTACTCAGCAAAACTCTTCACCGACCTCCATATAGATGTCAATATAATATATCCTTCAATTCCTTTCTCAGCTTATCTTGCTTCCTCAAAATTCAGCCTTGCTTACTCAACAAAATGAAAAAAAGCTACAAACTGAGGCTGTTATACTTTGGGCATTATCATGAGAAAGCAATACTAGACAATGCTAAGAAAAGTGGAAGGCTGTACTCGTAGGAAAAGAGGAAAGCTTAACATGAAATGGGCGGAGTTGACAAAAGAATCCATGGCTTCAGTTTGAAAGACTTGAGCAAGGCCCTTAATGATGACACCTTTTGCTGATCATTGATTCATAAGGTTGCCATCAGTTGAAAGTGACTGGATGGTGTACATAACACCACCACAAATGTCTATTCCCGTGTTATGTCTCAGTAGTCATTGTTGAATTCAAGGCTATACCTCTGTGTTTGGCTTTTAATGTAGGTTGGGGACTAGTTTGAGATACTGGAAGCCTGTTAATTTGTGCCGCAGAGCCTGGTTTTATGTCCCTATATCTCTTTGTAGAGGGCCAGATTCTCACTCCTCAGTTTGTTTTAGTCCTGATCATGCAAGCTATTCAGCCCATAGCTGCTGCAGTTTTGAAGTCAGTTCATCCTGACTTCCTAGAATTTCAGTCTTGTTCTTTGTGGTCTTATCAGCTGTTCTGGGCTTTATGATCTGTCCCAGTTAGCTGTACTGAATGCAGGTTGGTGATAAGTGTGCCTGCACTTTCTTGATTTCCCTGCACAGCTGGCAGCAACAAATCCATAGGCTGTTCGGTACAGGCTGGTGGGAAAACTGTAGCCACCACAGACTGAACTGTTGATGAATGTCTCTCACAGCCTCTGCATTCTGTCCAATCTTGGATCTCCTGTATGATATGTAAATTGGAACAAGTTCAGAGGAGAGCAACAAGGATGATTAGGGGGCTGGAAACCGAGCCCTAATGAGGAAAGACTGAAAGATTTGGGTATGTTTATCCTTGAGAAAAGAAGACTGAGGGGAGATATGATAGCACTTTTCCAACACTTGAAAGGCATACAGAGGAGGGGCAGGATCTGTTCTCGATCACCTCAAAGTGCAGGACACGGAAAAATTGGCTCATATTACAGGAAGCCATATTCCAGTTGAATATCAGGAAAAACATCCTAATTGTTAGAGTAATATGGCAATGGAACCAATTACCTTGAGAGATGGCTAGTGCTCCAACACTAGAGGCATCCAAGAGAAAATTAGACAACCACCTGACAGATATCCTTTGATTTGTGTTCCTGCACTGAGCAGGGGATTGGACTTGTTGGCCTTGTAGGCCTCTTCCAACTTCACGACTGTATGATTCTACCCTCTTTTCTTGTGGCTTGTTCTTTCCTAGTTGACAAAGCTACATTCATGGTGGGCAGTTACGGGCCGCGGCCGGAGGAGTATGAATTCATGACACCTTTGGAGGAAGCCCCGAAGGGCATGATGGCTCGAGGAAACTACCGCAACAAGTCCTTCTTCACCGATGATGACAAGCATGACCATCTCACCTGGGAATGGAACTTGGCCATTAAGAAGGAGTGGACAGAATGAGTTCCACCTCATTTCCTTCTCTTCGCTTCTTCCTGCCACTCGCTGTGCCCATCTCTGGCACCTGCATGCCACGCTTCCTCTGCACAATCCACATGGCCTGTTTATTCTCACCAGATATTTTGTTAACACAGGCTTTTGGACAGAGTCTGTCTCTCCTGTTGCTGCTTCATTGTAAATAATTACAAGGAATTAAACTGGGTCAAGCCATCCCCTTTCTGTTTTCACCAGATCATTCCTTGAAGTGCCTTTGCAAGGAAAACTCATGGCTGTTGACCTAACTTTGTTATTATCATAGCATATAGATTCTCTCCATTTAAAGATATGTCTTTTTGCCTTTTCCTACCTTGCAGTCTTTATTCACTGGAAACATCTTTGCGTGTCAGTGGATTCTATTGTGTTTAAGATTTTTTGGATGTAATCTCTAAATCTGCACTTGGGAATCTTGTCTTTATCAGTAACAGGAGACACCGTTCCTGTCCTGGTGTGTAAAACTTTTGATGTCTTTGAAAATAAAGCCAGTTTTGTTCTTTCCTTCCGAGTGAACCTCTCATGTTTTGCTTAGTGCAGTGATTTGTTCTGTCCTAGGCAGCTGCAAAGTATATGCAGATCTAACATACGTTTTAAAAATAGGTCCAGACACTTAATTTTGCACATTTCATTTTAGTAGGTTGGGAAATACGCTACCTTGTACCGATGGGAATTAGGGATATATTTTCTCACTTAAGAATAGTGTCTACTTTAGTGCTTCTTCTACCTTCCTCTGTAGCATAGCATTTACTGAGAGTTTACACTATGTAAAGTGCTATGTAACAGATGTAGGCAGTGGAAGATAGGAGGGCCTGGCGTGCTCTGGTCCATGGGGTCACGAAGAGTCGGACACGACTAAACGACGACGTTGTAACATGCAGCCAAAAAGTAGCTCTCCAAGTAATTTGCACTTGATTGGCACAGTTATAAAATAGTAGCAGTAATAAAAAATCCTTCCAACCCAAAATAATACTACTGTACTGAATTAAAGAAAGATTGGAGTAACTAGGTGTAGATGTTTGTGCAAAAACTCTGTGCAGTGCTGTTGATATACTTATAAATTTAATTCATAGAACAAACAAGTAGATTTACCATGGAATTTTTTCCATATTTCATTTGTGCTGTCTTATATACACAAGAAAAAAATCAAGTTTGGTGAGATGTTCTTAGACTAAAACTCTCAAAAGCCTTCACCACTAGCTGTGATGGCCAAGATTTCTTGGAACTGTAGTCTAAGAACATCTGGGTTATCCAAGGCTGGCAACCACTGGCTCAGTTTATGTAAATCTGAAGTCACAGAAAAGAGATCAGCTAGGAGAGAGATTGGGCAGGTTAAATAAAACAGCTACAGAAGGGAACCTCCAGGGAGAAACAGATCAATTTAGAGTTTTTGAATTGAGAAAGCTCATATGAAAAATTTATGAAAGATATTAGTAAGGGGAATAAAATAATTTTTAAAAATTCTTTTGGATAACCCCACCTTTATTCGTGTATGTTAGTGAGCTAAAGAGAGAACACACACACACAAAAAGAAAGAAAGAAAAAAGGGTTTAATCACTTGTTATACATGCTATCCAGTCTCTTCTGACTTACGGTCACTTTAATTGGATTTTCAAAGTGAAATGTTCAAGGAATGGTTTTACCAGTGTCATATCCCCGTTCCCAAGTGAGTTACCTTGACCAAGCCTTAGTTCAACACCTCATTGACTGCACCAGACTGGCTTTTGCAGTGATTTAGTCAAGTAAAATAAAGAAGGAAATATTATTTGAACAACAGAAAAATGGCCCCAAATCTACAGATTGTTTAATTTTTTTAAAATATCTGTATTTGGACTCATTTCCAAAAAAAAGTAGCTCTGTTAATCTGACTCAGCAAAAGAACATTTTGAAAAAAGGCAAAATGTTATAACTGTCAGTGACACAAATAATTAAGCTTGATAATTCCTGTGTTAAGAAACTATTACTACTTTGCCTCTTAGCTGTATCCTTACCTTGTTATGGAGACTTGTATAATATAGTTAATACAATAATATCTATACTGTGTGAGGACGTGGATTTTGGTCTCAACAATGAAATAAAACTGTTACCGGTAGTCCTAATGTGCTACAATATATAACTTTTCTTTTGCCGATATCTTTGGATTCTCAGAATAAAAGCATCAAACTGACTTTTTTATGTTCATACAAATCCTGGGGAAAAGCAATTTCCTCTTTTTCTCTCACATAAGAAAACTTTGTGAGATGTTGTATATTTGTGCCACCAGTAGGTGCTCTGAAAACACTGACAAAGGAGTAGTTAATTTCTCTTCAGGATGATTATTTTGCTCATGGACAATATGAAGCCAGTTGATACAGATTTCAGTAATTCATATAATTGATTGGTCAAGATTTTATGAATCAATGGCTGCAAAAAATGCTTTTGGTGCAACAGTAACTGGACAAGACTGCCCTGGTTGCACTGTAAATGGGAAATAAAGCTATATGAATAATGTGTGAGACTCCTTTTTGCTGCTTATGCTGGGCTATTTTTGTAGCATACATGTGAACAGTGCTGAGAAAGTGGATCCTCCATTATTAATGAAATGAAGTCCATAACATGCAACAGGAGTGGATCTGGCAGTTTACTGCCCCATAAGTCTCTTTATCTCAGGAAGTAGATTATGTTTGACCATTCCCAGGTGTTTTGTTCCCACAGCTTTAGGAATTGCCATATCGGATTAGTTAATTTTTAGTAGCCTTTCCATGCAAAGCTCAGAGTACGATACACTGCAAGGAGAAAAGAAGTCAAGACAATGAAAAGCTCCATCTTGCAGAGTCTTGTTACATTTCTTCTCTGGATGTTGCTCTGTGGGTATGCTGAAAAGGATCCTACCTCAGAAGGTAAAGGAGCAGTATCCTGCAAAGAGGATGGCCATATAGATCGGTGTGTAGAAAAGGAAAGTTCCAGGTGGTAGCATTGCACCTCTTCATGGGAACTGTACTTCAGCAGCCAGAAATGTGGGGTGTCCCCATGGAGAGACAGAGGTGTGAGGTTTTACAGGAGGGGCTTACCCTTTGAAAGTGAAGCCGTTATGCAGACTGGTGTGACTGTGACATAGAATGGTGGATTGGCTGGAGGGTGGTGTGGAGTGGTTGACTAAAATACAACTTATTGCATTCCTTCCAAACTACTATTTATTGTGGAGGCACTAGAACAACATTCCTGATTCAATAATAATTAAAGACAACACTAAGTATTTTAGTAATGTTGTCTTCATCTTTCCTTTTTCATTGTAAAGAACAAAAGAGGCAAACAGTGTCAGAAGAGAATAAAATGCAATTGCATAAAGAAGCAGTGTTCTGTTGCTGAATCTTGTTGCCATAAGTTGCTCTGCAAAAGGCTTATGGTGTTGTCTGCCATAGTGCTGAAAAGGATCCTACCTCAGAAGGTAAGGGAGCAGTATCCTGCAAAGAGGATGGCCTGTGGAATGGAAAGGGAAAGTTCCAGGTGGTAGCATTGCACCTCTTCATGGGAACTGTACTTCAGCAGCCAGAAATGTGGGGTGTCCCCATGGAGAGACAGAGGTGTGAGGTTTTACAGGAGGGGCTTACCCTTTGAAAGTGAAGCCGTTATGCAGACTGGTGTGACTGTGACATAGAATGGTGGATTGGCTGGAGGGTGGTGTGGAGTGGTTGACTAAAATACAACTTATTGCATTCCTTCCAAACTACTATTTATTGTGGAGGCACTAGAACAACATTCCTGATTCAATAATAATTAAAGACAACACTAAGTATTTTAGTAATGTTGTCTTCATCTTTCCTTTTTCATTGTAAAGAACAAAAGAGGCAAACAGTGTCAGAAGAGAATAAAATGCAATTGCATAAAGAAGCAGTGTTCTGTTGCTGAATCTTGTTGCCATAAGTTGCTCTGCAAAAGGCTTATGGTGTTGTCTGCCATAGTGATTTTTTTTTTATTTTTTATTTTTTTTTGGCAATAGGACTTTTCCAATTTATCCCCAAAAGTTCCCTCGTCTCCTGTGGAATCCCTTTCACTGCTGGGAAGGCATTGGAGCCTGTGGAATGGAAGGACATGTCTGAAAATTTATATATAAATATCTGGCAGCCAAGGGCGCTCTGGGTGGTTAACAGCAAATAGACAGAGCGACAAAGTAACAAAATAAAATAACATCAATACATTAGGGGTTGTGAATCAAATATCATAAAGTGCAGTGAAATCAGAGATAAGGTAAAGATAAAGGTTCCCCTTGACAATTTTTGTCCAGTCGTGTTCGACTTTAGGGGGTGGTGATCATCCCCGTTTCCAAGCCACAGAACCAGCGTTTGTCCGAAGACAATCTTCCGTGGTCACATGGCCAGTGCGACTTAGACACGGAACGCTGTTACCTTCCCACCGAGGTGGTCCCTATTTATCTACTCGCATTTGCATGCTTTCGAACCGCTAGGTTGGCGGGAGCTTGGACAAAGCAACGGGAGCTCACTCCGTTGCGTGGATTCGATCTTACGACTGCTGGTCTTCTGACCCTGCAGCACAGGCTTCTGCGGTTTAGCCCGCAGCGCCACCACATCCCTCTCGAAAACAGAGATATAATACAATAAATTACAATTAAAAGCACTGCTGCACTTACTGATGGTTGTTATTTTCAGTAATTAATGATTTCTCCTTCCCATTCTGTCATCCCCCATGGCTTCCTGAAGACAAAAGGTTCTCTGTGGGAACCTCAGAGCCTATGGGGGAAAATTAGCCATGTTTTATTTTCAAAAATTTGCAGTAGTTGATGATATCATCAGCCTTACACAATGTAACTTATGCAACAAGATTTCAGGCAATATATGATGGTTTTACTTGGACATCTAAATCTAGTCAGCCACGAAGAGTCGTCTATCTTTGTAAAGCCTGAAAGAATGAGAAAACACTACAGTAATTCTCTTTAGCCAGATGTACATTCATTCTGCTTTTTTGAGTTATCTCAGTCAAAGAAGATGCTCCCACCGCATCTGTAATGGTTGATGGCAGGCAAAGTAAGCCCTGGAAAACAAAGCAAAAAAGTGTGCTGGAATTGCTGCAGTTGGGACTATTAACTCCTCAAATCCCCCAGATAGAATGTCCACTGGCAGCACATGTTGCTGCATCCTGGGAGTTGCAATAAGCAAATATCATTTTTCCCAAGCCCTGAAAAGGATTCAGATATGTGGAAAGACAAACTAGTAATGTAAACCACCAAAGGGAATGTATGTGAGTTTGTGCAGAAATGTGGCTCTGAAAAATTAGTGTCTGTACTTTCCTTCCATTCTCCCAAGGTATTGTTGAAGATCTGAGGAAACCAGAGCTTTTGGAGGATGTAGCAGCTACTGAAGCATTCATCAGTTCCGCTGAAGTGGCAGTCATTGGATTCTTCCAGGTCTGTTGTGTGTTCTCAGCTGCAGTAAGATACTCAGACCTTGCCCCATGTCCTCTCGAGAATTCTAGCATGATTTCCTGATGATTTCCATGATGAGAATGTCACAAAAAAGGTGACGACTAGATCTTTTGCATCCCAAGAAGAACAATACCATATCTACATTAAACAGCAAAGGACCTCACAAGACACATTAACAAATGCAAAATGAATATACTTTATTACTTACTGATTACAATTCTAATAAAAGGGGGTTTCATGCATTCAACACATTCACACCACATACATACTCATCAAAGAGAGAAGAATTCTTGATTTGCATTGCCCCAAGTTCCAAAGAAAGTAGCTGCTTCCAAAAGCCTTTGGTCTCAGCAGGCAAATTATGCCTGCCCGGACTCTTCCTTTTGTATTCTTTTTGGGCAGGTTGCTAGCTGAGCATGCGCATTAGATGCTTCTTTGTTTTTTCCTAGATATACTGTATGGTCCTTATCACCTATTGTGAAGTATGAAATGCTTTTAGATAGGTGTGGAATCTGCTTGCTCCGGAGGATCGTTGTACCAGGGTCTCCTTAATCCCTGAGTTTTTTCTACTCCCTCAATTAGCAGCAGATGGTTTTTGTCAACTTACCGAAAGCATAGTTCAAAAAGTTCACAGTTCAGTAGTTGAATTTCTCACAATGAGGGCTTATAGCCAGAAATATAAAAGTCCCATAGTTCCTCTAGTTCTGCTGGTCTCCTTTGTGTTTGCTCTCTTCCTGGTTCTTCACCTTTTCTCTTCCTCCCTCTTTTGTGGTTTTATGTTGTGCAGTGTTTGATATTTTCCCAGTGATTTTATATTGTATGATACAACTATGGTGTTGTATCTTTTTAAATGTACCTCTTAGTAATGGAGATAACTTTGGTGATTGTGCATTCTAGGAGTATAATAAATAAAAACTCTACAATAAAATGGTATGCTAGTAGAGGTTATAGGCCCTTCACAGAAACATGTATAGTGTGTGCATGTGTGAAGGAATGGTTACATACATAAATATACAGTATTTGTAAAAAAATCCACACACAGTGTGCTAGTAGAGGTTATAGGCCCTTCACAGAGACATGTATAGTGTGTGCATGCGTAAAGGAATGGTTACATACATAAATATGTTTGTAAAAAATCCACACACTTTTGATCAGTAGAGCCAATTTGCTGCAAGGCACTGTAGGAATGGAAATTGTGGTGTATTTCAGGACAGAAGCAGATGGAAGACAGTACCCATAATTAGACCCGAAAGCACTTACAATTGCGGAGAGGCAAATGAGTCAGTCTTTCCATAATTGAGAAATTAGACTTCAAAGGAATCCCCCTGGAGTCCTGATGACCAATCAACAAACCAAACAAGCGAATCTACATAATCCAGGAGGCTAGAGGAGCTCAAACATTAACACTAAGTTCAGCTAAGAATTCCCCTTTTCAAGTCATGAACTTCCTCTAATGGTCTTGGTAAGAGAACTGAGCAACTGTTGTTGCCTCTCAAGGTAAGCACAGAACAAAGGGAATCCAAGAACCCCTTGCCACTGATATTACTATATAAGGAGAAGATGCTGAGAACGGTTATTTCTATCACATCTTACAACTAGTCAGGCAGGCTGGGGCAAATGGGATGCAGAGTTCATCAGTTGTATATGGAGGGCCAGGGGTTCCCCAGTTCTGCTTTAAAAGGCACCTCACTATATCTGTTGTCTCTCTCTCACACATGCTGCCAGAATAGCAGAAGTGTTCTCACCCCTTTCGGCAGGCCAGCCTAAGGTGTTCTGCTGTCTGAAACTGAACACAAAGTGGCTGTCCTTTCCCCATCTGCCTTGTCAAATTAAACATCTGAGGCGATTGTCTTTTCATTCTTTATAAATAAAATCTGCAGATTCAAAGGAAGGAAGGAAGGAAGGAAGGAAGGAAGGAAGGAAGGGAGGAAGGGAGGGAGGGAGGAAGGGAGGGAGAACTGAAAGCAAACAGTTGGGTGGTTGTTGTGGTTTTTTCGGGGTCTTTGGCCGTGTTCTGAAGGACTCTGAAGCTGCCGGCCACAGAGACTGGTGAAACGTCAGGAAGAACAATCTTCCGAACACGGCCAAAGAGCCCAGGAAACCCACAACAACCATCAGATCCTGCCCGTGAAAGCCTTCAAGAATACAGTTGGGTGGTCTTTCACAAACGCACAAAATCAGCTGCTTAAAAGGACTGGCTCTGTCTGAGCTTTCAAGCACAATAAATGAAGAGTTTGAAAGCTAGTAAAGAGGTTTAATTTTGAGGGATATCAAATGCTCCTTGGAGTTTTAGAGCTCCCTCGGAAATCTGGTCAAATAAAAATAGCCACAAGATGTCAGCATTCATCCCTGAAACTCGAGCTGGGAGCAAATTGTCTGAAAACCTGACAATCTTCCTTGCCTATAGGATTACATCCCTAGACTTTGGGGTCTTCCTTCTCTTCCCTTTACATTATATTTCCCTCCTGTTTTTTTCTCCACTTTGCTTCTTTCTCTAGCATTTTATCTTTTTCTGACCTCTCTCCTTCGCTCTCTTTCACTTCTTCACAGAAATCTACATCTCTTGAAGTAGACGTTGTCTACTTTCTCATCACCAGAAAAGAGGATATGTGCCCTCAAACAAACAAAACACCCCCTCACAAACATAAAACTGTATATGCTGGTTTATTCGTGCAGGTGCAAGATTAGAAAAGCGTTTAATAATTTAAACAGAATTACAATGCAGTTCATTAGAAATGGGAAAGCCAGTGACTTGGTGGCCTGTGGGCCTGGTACGTCTGCTCTCCAGGTGTGACCTATGGATTGGCATCCTCACGGTCCCTTATTGCTTGTGATTCTTCATCTTTAAATCAGATTGGGCTGGGCACAGCCCCTCAAAAAGAGTCTCTTTTCAGAAAAAGGCATGTCCACTGACAGCCCTTCAAGTAGAGGAGAGTCTTCTGTAAAAGAGGCCATGTCGTCACCCTGCAGAGGACATAGCTGTGCTATAGACTGAAATTAGGCCTGATATTAACTTCCTATCCCTCAGGCTCAGCAGCTGTAATTCTTCTGTAAGGAACAATCTCCAGGGCGGAAATGAGAGCAAGCTCGGCCTCTCTAGTTCTTGTTCCCTGGGGTTTCGGCATGTACGTTGGCACCATGGGATAAAATACAGCAGGCTCCTCTATGCCCCAGAGCTTTTGTGTTATATTTTTTTGGCTGAGTTCTTGGTCTGGTGAATGAATCCCTGTGATGAGACACATTTTCATATAATATCTCAGCCAAAATCCTGTTCATGCCAACACAATGAAATGTTAGGTAAAGGTAAAGGTTCCCCTTGACAATTTTTTTTGTCCAGTCGTGTTCGACTCTAGGGGGCGGTGCTCATCCCCGTTTCCAAGCCATAGAGCCAGCGTTTGTCTGAAGACAATCTTCCGTGGTCACATGGCCAGTGCGACTTAGACACGGAACGCTGTTACCTTCCCACCAAGGTGGTCCCTATTTATCTACTTGCATTTGCATGCTTTCGAACCGCTAGGTTGGCGGGAGCTGGGACAAGTGACGGGCGCTCATTCCGTCACGTGGATTCGATCTTACGACTGCTGGTCTTCTGACCCTGCAGCACAGGCTTCTGCGGTTTAGCCCGCAGTGCCACCATGTCCGAGTAATGTAATGTTAAGCCAGTGTAAATGTGCTGGCTTTTCACCTGGCAACAAGGAATTACACCATCAATTAAGCCAGTGTAAATGTGCTGGCTTTTCAACAAGGAATTACACCATCATATTGCACAATTGGCCACATGTCCTGAGCACTACTGATTGCACAGTACAGAAGTGTTTTGGGGATAGAATTTCTGCCTTAGCTGTAGTGCAATGACTGCACACATATCCTTGAGTTGCGCATGCATAGCTGAGCAGTAGGATTTAGGACCTTGGGTTAAACTCTAAATAGCTAGTCCAATCCCTCTGATGATGAGTAGGCAGAAAATAATTTAGTAAATAGGGATGAACATTGTCTCCCATCCCTTGAGATGCTTACTTTGTTTTTCTGTGGTAGAATTCTTCTGGTGGAGGAGGATGTTTCTGACTGAGAATGTTCACTGACTTTGACAATTCCAAGGATTCTTTTGGGATTGCTATGAGAGATAATGTGATGTCGAACTGAAGCAAGTTTGCTGTATGGTGTAACATACTGAATAATCCCTTCTTTTGTCCCCTTCCCCAATTTCTGCAGGATTCAGAGCGACCAGAGTTTTCAGAATTCCTTACGATGGTACAAAATGTGCAAGAGGTAGCATTTGGGGTCTGCACCAGCCTTCATGTCCTCTCTCATTACAATATCACAACAAATACCATTTCCGTTTAGCGTATGGTAGGTTTTTTTTGTTTTTTTGTTTCTGCTTGTAGTTCTGTTTCTTCTAGTAACTATATCCAAATGCTACAGGTGTTAATGGTGTACTTTGAGGTCTTTTCTTAAGCTCTGCTCATGATGGGAACGGACATAATAATTCTGTGTACTGTATTATCTTTTCTGTGGTAAAAAGATATAAAGAAATATTTCCACTAGCAGTTGGGAAAAGTCTGGAATGCATGGGTTAAAAGAAATTAGTTAATTTTATATTTAAAGCGGACAGAGCTCCCCCTCTTTCTCCTTTTCAGTGACACATACAATATTGTGGAATGAGGTTAATTCAGCTGTAACTTTATTAAAACTAACATCAAAGGGTTCTAGTCTTGATTAATATATGGGCAATAAACAGTTTTGTGGGCTTTGGCAGGGGCTGAAGTGCTTAAAAAGATTTGGACCAGGGCAGCTCCTTTAGTGGAACTAGAATCTCTACAGAAAATCCTGGCTTGCACTTCTGGCATAATTTTTGGAACTTCTATGTTTCCTTTGTTCCATCCTCAGCTCTGTGATGTCTTGCCTGATGAGAGCCATGCAGGATTGAATGATAATTTAGTTTTGTGATGTTTTAGTGGTTTAAAAAAGCTATCATTTGCTTTCAGATGGTGTACAAAGGTTGTGGACATGTTCATTTGTTTGTGACTGATGTGACCTTGCATTACAGATGATGATCATCATCATCATCTTAGAACTGCAGCGCTAGAAGGGACCCTATGGATAATTGAGTCCAGCTCCTTTCAAGGAGGCCCAGTGCGGGATTTACTGAGCTATCCAGTAGTTCTATAGAACAGTGGTCCCCAACCTTGGGCCTCCAGATGTTATTGAACTACCACTCCCAGAAGCCTTCACCACCACCTCTGCTGGCCAGGATTTCTGGGAGTTGAAGTCCAAGAATATCTGGAGGCCCAAGGTTGGGGGTCACTGCTATAGAAGAAGGAGAGCAGCATGAATTAAACATGGTTACATAATTTGTTGGGTTGGAGTGGTCCAATTTAAACATTGAAATCATCCTTCCTGTAATGCATGGCTTCAGGCTGTGGGGTGGCAGTGGTAGAAATTACACATGAGTTAAAAAAGAAGTAACTTCCCAGCTATTGGAAAAATATCATGGCCAGGATGACAACACTAGAGAAGTAAAATATTGCTTTCTGTCTTGCTGGCTCTCTATGGGCGGTGATGTATGTTTCCAAGGCAGGAGCCATATTCATTTGTTGCAGCAGAAACAACAGAGACCTTGTAGCACCTTAAAGTCTAACATGTTCTATTGGGCATAAACTTTCTGGATTGCAGCCCACTTTTAAGCTGCATGGAGAGTTGCTCCGATTAACGGATTAGGATATACAGGCTTAGATGGACAGCTGTGTGGGTTTGCAAGGGAGTTCTAATCATTTTATGCTGTAAGCCGCCCCGAGTAGACATGGTCTAGAGGGGCGGGGAATAAATAAATAAATAAATAAATAAATAAATAAATAAATAAATAAATAAATAAATAATAAGGGGGAGAGGGGAGAGAGAGGGAGCTGCAATGCACAGAGGTTGACCATCGTTTTAACAGTGGCCATTAACAAGTAGTAATTGTGTGGTGACATAAGAAATGTAGATGATCAGCTTAGCACATGTCAAAAAGCTTTCATCCTGGCTTTTCACGAAAAGTTGTGTCTGTGTGTCTGTTTATATTGTAACACCAGGAAGCATTCAGACATGTATTCTTGTTCCTATCAGCCGAAGGGTTATTATCTGCCGCCACCAGTTACTTCTCAGTGTTCGGATTAGCTCATTTTGGGAGAGTACATCCTATCCTTGAAGAGGTGCCCAATAGAGATGGGCAAGCATTGCCTCCTCTCTGCCCTCCGTGTCTCTAGCTGTGTGTTTTGAAACTGTTTTTCAGTTTTCCCCACTTTAGCCTCAAGCTTATACAGCAGGGAAATTTAAAATGGCCAGACAGAGAAATGAAATCACATCTGAAAATTAGCTATGGTCAGGAAGAAATTCTTGTTGGTCTCCTCTAGGAGAGATGGCAAAGCTAACAATACTCTTATTTACATCCTGGCTGAGGTGGGAGAAGGAATGGAATGGGCGGACAAACACAGCTCCCACTGCTTAACCTAACATTGCAGTTTGCAGATGTACACAGGAAGCCCTTCAGGTTACTTTGCGTAGGTATGCTGGTAGCAATTTCCCTGACACGTTAGCATCCTGAACTGCTCCTTTGTCAGCTAAGACCATTATAGAGTATGTCAGATTGACCTGACTGGCACTTTCAGTAGTGAAATGACCTAGTTATCACTGGCAGAGATGATTTGTGCTACAGAAACAAAAAGGCAAGCAACGCTTGGGAAAATGACCTTTTGGAACGAAAAGTACCCAAGTTAGAAACAAAAAGGCAAGCAACGCTTGGGAACGAAAAGTACCCAAGTACTCCAGATAGCATGGTGAATGAGCATGTTAACTGGAGAATTCGGGGGATTGTAGTCCTAAAAAGTAACAAATCATCCATTGTGTCACCAATTTAATGCCGGAAATTAATAGCACATGATCTTTTCTCCAGTTCTCTCAGAAGGCAGGTCTCCAAGCAGCAACTGTGGCTGGGAAAGGATGGACAAGATGGTTGTTTGCTACAGAAAGGCAGTTGCAGAGCGTGGAAACCAGATATAGGATGGGACACTCCCAGGCAAAGTGGAGTGTTACTATTGTGAGGAATCTGACTTGGGACGACCCACATCAAGAGAAAGTTTTGGAAAAGTAAAGAAATCTTGCATAAGATACTTCTTTACTGCTGTTTCAGATGCAGTGGGTGCCTGCAAGCTCAAGGCAAATAAGTGCACCAGGACCCTATCACTGGTCTTGAGAGATTCCTCTCTTCTTAATTTAGATTTCTTTGACATCTTAAAAACTGACAGATGTTGTTTGGCTTAAACTTTGGTGGACTACAGCTGGCATCATCAGATCCATTGAATGTTGCCACATTTGGCAACTTACTATGCACATTCTTGGAGCGGGAGGTGGGTTGGGTGTGTGTGCAATCAGTGGGCTCAGAAGGACTTGAAATGCGAAAAGTACTCGCTCCCTTCCTGTGTATGTATATAACAATTGGCCAAATGAGGTAACACTTCATGGATCTGATAAACTGGGTTTCAGTCCACAAAAGTTCACTACAGGAAAAAAAAAGTCTTTAAGGTGCCACGAGAGTTTGTCTTGCTTTTACTGCAATAGCCCCATTGGACATTACCTCGATGGCCCATTTGATGAAATTAAATCCATGTGGAGAAACATTTGGAGCTACATGCTCCAGGGTACATCCAGACATACCCTTCAGGTAAGACGTTTCCTGTTTTTGTGTCACTGCAAAAGCATAAAGTGGCTGTGAGTTCTGCTTGGTTTGTTTGCTTTTTGGTGCCATATCAGTTGAATTAGAATATTCTCATTCTACCAACTCTGTCAGGATGAGAACCCAAAACAACAGGCATTATAACAATCTTAAATCAGGGTACCATAGTAGGGGAAGTCTTCAGTAGAGTTGCCAATCTTTTTCATACGTGTGTATCCCATAAATTGTACAAGTGAAGCATTTCCCACCATTTCAACTGCATGCTGGGAAAAGCTTCAACTTCTTACATTGCAGCCTGTTAATGCTGTAAAAAGCATAGAAACCCTGACTGAGGTGGAAAGGTTTAGGTACCTAATCTCTTCCACTCTTAAATTCCTTCTCCACAGGATTTGAATTACAAGGGACCAGAGATAACAAAGCTGAGAAGTTTACGTGGGACATGGGTTACTTGAAATTTGTAAAGAATAAAATAAGTTAGACTATGGATTTCATTAAAGGCAGCCATATCCAAATAAATTCTTTTATTTATTTACTATATTTATTCTAAGTAAATTCAAATAAATAATCTAAGCATGTTTGTTCTGTTTTACATTTGGAGAGAATCTATTGAGATTTGGCTCATCAGTAGAGCCATTTTACCTCATGGGTAGACAGGGTAGCTTTGTTGTGCTTCTGTCTGGAATTCTGAAATGGTGTGAAAAAAAATTTAAAATCTGGAAGCAGCCTCATAGGCTACTCGGAAAGAGATAGTCCCCACCCCCAGTCTCAGTAAGTATATAAAGGTTTGGAAAGATTTGGAAAGTGAATTGGAAAAAACTCACAATTTTAACCATTAAGTTCATACATCATTTCAACAGGTGTCACAAATGGAAAGTCTATTTAGCTGGACTATTTCTATTCAGTCACAGTCTTTTTCTCCTCCACCAAAAATCTGCTATATCCCAACAGTTTTGGTGAAATTAAATCTGATTATTTGATTGCAGAATGTTGTTATCCAGGGCCTATTTTTCTTGATTCCTATCTCTCCTGAATGTGTTGTTTAAGTTAAGGAGCACTTAACGGCATTTATGGCACAGGCCTTTTTCCAAATCTCCGTTGCTTTCAACAGGACAGCCCTTGGGTATAGCAATGGAGTAGAACAAAGACATTCAAATCATGTATGCTGGGCTTTCTTAAAAGAAGAAAAGATCCCTGTCTCGAATTAATAACCAAGGTGTTATCTGCGCTGAAGCATTTGGGTTACTTTGCCTGCCTGTAGCTCACTTTCACCATTTCTGCCCGTGGTTCTCTTGGCCATAGTTGTGAATTTCCACTTAGTGCAACTTTTATATTTGCTATGGTAATATACAATGGGATAACCACTATATTCACTTTTGGAAAAAAAAATCAGAACAATTTCTGTATCGGAAAGGAAGGATACTCTGCACATGTTCAGAAGTACTGTTAAAAACAAGAAGACTGACCCTTTTTAAAAATTACCCCCACTCTGCAGTGCCATAATTTTTGCAATCAAAAATTAGCAACACAGCTGGCCCAGTCTGGAGGGATTGAATGGGTTATTGGCCTTCCTAAACCATTTTAGAGCAGACCTGTCTCCTATTTAGTTAGGTACTGAACACACATATACACCCATTTACTCTCTAACACAGGAGATCCTTTATGTCACAGCAAAATATGCAAAGCATAGGACTTGAGTTGATCTGTGTTTTTACAGAACTCTGTAGTCTGTTCCAGTCCTCAGACTTTCCACTAACTTTGGTGGTCCCCTTGGAAAGATCTCAAGGATTTATGTGCTGTGGCTCACTTTGGTTTAAGGCTAGTTTAGTCCTCCTTCTCCTTTTTTTCCATGGAGCTGCTCTTGTTTTGCTCCCAGGCTGTTGAGACAAAAATATCATCTTTCAAGTTTCTCTCTTTGGTCTGAAGATAGATACGAGGAGCCCAGTCAAAGCATGAACCAGAACCAGGAGCTATGTACGGAAAAGAACCAGAGGGATGAGCTGTTTTTGGACAAGATCATACAAACCTTTAGTGTAGGAATGCATGATTGTGACCTTCCAGATGTTTTAGCCATGAACTTCTATCATTTACAGCTCCCATTAGCTCCTTGTTGACATAGTGATGAGGGTTCATTGGAATTGTAGCCCAATACCAGCTGCCCACTCTGATTTAGCAGATATTTTAAAAGTTTACACACATGTATATACATGCATGCATGCACATATGTGCGCACGCACATTCCTAAATTCTGTAGTATAGTTTTTCCCAACCAAGAAATGTAAGACTATGTCCACCATTATCCCAGCCTGGGGATTGATAAGGTTTGTAACACATCTAAACACAAGAGACTGGAGAAATCTGATCTAGTCTGTGTTTTACAAAGCCATTGAGAGGGGCATCAGCTTTGAGCCATGCCATCAATGGCATAGTTCAGCTAAACACCAAAATGTTCCACTGGGATTCTTTGTTGTTCCCTTGGGATTATTTTCTTATTTCCTTCTGAATTGTCTTCTCAATAGACTGTCAATAAGCTAGATCCAGAAACATGTCAGCAGATCTTCCTGTTTTTCATGGAGCCTAAATATATGCATTTTTTTTTCCTTATTCTGCTGGGGAAAAATCCTCTGTTTATTGGAGAGGCTTTATGCTTGCACAATGTTTCCAGGAAATCCACGTATGCTTGTGCCAATGTTTATTAGGTTTAAAAATAATGAAATAAGCAGATGAATGCTTTAAAAAACGAGAGAGATTTAGACTGGTTAAGATCCAGAGGGCCTACTAAGATGATCAGCTAATCCACCTTGTCTCTAGGATCCAAAGGAATTTAATGTATCTGATAAGAGCCTTCAAAGGTTTTGGTTATTCTTTTTAAAGGCAAAGGGATAAAGAAAACAGTTGCTTCATTGTGTCAAGACATATCCAAATTTCAGGAAGACTATAGGCTGTGTTAAAATCTTAGGGTAGAACTAGACAAGCTCGGCTGTCTGGATAGCTCAGGGGGTTAGGTATCTGGCTGAAGAGCCAGAGGTTGGGAGTTTGATTCCCCGCTGTGTGGCCTTGGGCAAACTGCACAGTCCCAGGATGCCCCCAGAAAAAAAGGGAACGGTAAACAACATCTGAGTACTATCTACCCGGATGCCCCCAGAAAAAAGGGAATGGTAAACAACATCTGAGTACTATCTACCTGGAAACCCCCCAAAAGGTCACCATAAATCAGAATGGACTTGACAGCATATTTCTACTCTAGACACGCTACTGATCTCATAGGTAGAAGCAGTACTCCTTTAAGTGTTGAAGGATGTCTGATTGGGAAAGCATGTTATTTCCCGTAGTTAGATACAGTAGATGTGCAACTGATCACTGGAGCATACAGTAGATATCAGCTTCCTTTGCAGATATGAGTTGTGCATCCCAAAGGAGATTGTGTAACTACTGTGAAAACTTTATAAAAGCAAAAAAAATTGCTTTAATCTATTTTGCTTTTCAGCAAACAAAATTGTGCATAAGAATGCATATCATGTTCATATCAGAGATGGGATGGCAAATGAATGTGCTGTTGGCTTCTTGCAAGCTGGCCACAAGAGGAGAATGGTTTAGATGACTCTAATTTTTTTTGAAAGGGAAATGGTGTAGTTAGCAGTCTTCTTTCAAGGAAGAGTTTTTTTGTGATACAAATAGTGAAATGCAGGAGGAAAGAGACTTGGAAGATCCAGGTTCTAGTTTTGAAAGAACCATGAAACAAACTTGATTATGATGCATCAGCCGTTGTTTTCTTAGCATGGTCTACCTCACAGGGTTGTTCTAAGGGTAAATGGAGGGTGCTCTCTATGCTGCCTTGAACCCATTGGAAGAAAGGTAAGTTATAGATGTGAGCTGATGATAGTATTAAACTGGACAGACCCAGGATATCCCACTTCCTTGCAGAGATTATTTTGTTTTTGCAAGTGTCCAAAGGGGACATTGTCTGGAACGGAGCAATTGTGACTTTTCTCCTGTGCTTCAGGTGGACAACAAAAGGCATGATTTGGAAACAGCAGACATTGAAGGACTTGACGCCAGCAAGCTGAGTCGCTTCGTTCAGATGCAAGGACTCAGATGGGTGACTGAGTACAACCCTATGGTAAAAAAAAATTGTACTGGATTGGATTGGGTTGAGTTGACCTATATGTTTGATCACCAATCTCATATTTTCAGTCTGAGAGAGCAAATAATCTTATAATTAAGAAGAAAAACCTCCAGAACATGGCCAAACAGCCCAAAAAACCTACAACAACCATTAGAATTAAGAGTTTAGAGTTAATAGGAAGTTTGCTAGCGCTTTTTCTTTTCTCTGTTTGGCCCTCTCAGTCTGGAAACAAATTATTTAGTAGAGAATGCCAACTATACATGATTTACTGACTAAAGCTTCCCATAGTCTTAGTCATTTATTTATGTAAGGCTAATTCCTTTGTATCTGGTCAAGAAAAGCCAACTTAGAGACAAACTAATGCAAATACTTTTTGACAGAAATCTGAGATGTGTTTCTAAGGCAAGGCAGAAAAGGAGGAGTTTTTCCAAGTCCACATTCTGGATTTACATTATTGCAAAATTGGCTCAAAAGATGGACCTAGAAGTTATATAGGCTAGGATGGTGTTAATTCAATCTGCATGTACAGGGATCCATTGAATAAGCAGGATGACATTTCCTGTACCTCTTTGTGCAAACATAAGCCTTGCACTTTCTAATGGGCTGATCTCTGCTTGTGCAATGGCAAGCTGGAGATTTCATGGGACAGCATGGGCAGGCATATGCTCCATCCATGAAGCAACAGGATTGTGGCCATAGAAGGTAGTCATTGTCATATGGACATTGCATAGGCTATGCATTGTGATGATACACTACGTGGTCCCTATAAGCCTTATGGCTCCCCTACACTTGACTGGTACTTGTCAGGGCACACTGCTAGAACTGCAGCATCAGCTTGAGAGATACAGTTGGTAAGCAGTAAGTAACATTTTCTCTTTTGAGTCCTCCTGTTTTTTGAGATCTCCTGTTTCCCTTGCTTCCAGTTTTGTGCTATAGCCCCAAAATGAGAAATGTAGAAAAGACCCATCTGCATCTCCCTTAATCCTTAATCAAAGGGAGATGGCTCCTCTGAAGAAAAATGGAAAAGTCATAGGTGGCCTTCCAGATGCTGGTCAATCTCTGATTGACCAGCCTCTCTCTTTTGCTGCCAGATTGCTTTCTGCTTGGTTGGTCACAAATGGTATATCCCTCTCATAGATGCATATAATTGGCAGCTGATGGCATTTGCTACTAGTCAAAGTTGGGGGCCTTTGGATAGTCCTTGCCTTCCAGATGACAATTATAATACCCATTATGGTGTGGAAGGTTAACATGGTACTTGCCAGAGCTTGGAAAAGTTATGTTTTCATCTACAAATCCCATGATCCCCAAGCCTGTATGAACCTTGTTTATGATGGCTGAGGGATTCTGGGATTGGTAGTTTGAAAAAGAGTTCTTCCTAGCTATGCTACCCAGATATCTTTACCTCTACCATTTATTTATTAGTACTTTTTCAGATTCTTGGTTGGATTTTTCTCTTGCTGATGTTTTCCTTGCATTCCTTTTTTTCTGTTTTGCCATCTTCCATGACAACCTGAATGAGGCACTTGAATGTTGTAGCACTCAGGACCTCCTACTGTGTCCAAAACTCCCAACATGCTCAAGCTGGAAGGCTCTTGGAGAAATGCACTCGCTGACCTCTTCTTATTAATTCTGGAACCCTCTCACACTTTCCTCTTTTTCATAGAAAAACTGGCAGAGTTCTGACACAACATCAGTCAGTTCCTTGCTCGTTCTCTCTGCGGTTGCGTGTAGCACATGGGGAGGCAGGAGGTCAGCTGCAGGCTGCCCAGGCCCCCCTGTTTGGCTTGTGGGAGCGGCTGCTGCAGTTCAGGAAGTTGGGGAGGAGGAAAAACTGGATGACAAATTGTGCATCCCCTGGAGATTACGTGAAGAGACCGTTGGTACTGCCAGAGGCCCTGAGGCTCTTCACAGAGATCCAGTGTGCTCTGATCAGGCATCCCATCTCCAAATGGCATACGGAGAGCTCCAGGCCTCCTTTTTGTGTCACCCCCCCTCACCCGCTCAGCTTTGTGGCTTTCCATTCAAGAGCAGTTAACATTATGTCCACATGTTTTCCGAACTCTGCTCCGTTTTTCAAACTGGTGCTTTTAGAGAACACTATTAATCTGTCAATGTTTTAAGTCTCTTATGTGTTTAAGGTGAAAGTTTTTAATCTTTTTGTCATTATTTTAATTTATTGTACATTGTCTTGGGTGCCTGGTAGGTAGACAAGTGATGAAAAAATGATAAAAATAAAAATAAAATGGATTAAACAGAATAAAACTACCTGTATATTGTTCATGCATAGAAAAGGACTTAATTCACATCCTAAGTCTACATCATCCCCTACTCCTGGCTTTTAAAGATATTTAACTCACTGAATTCATGATTAGCTATACATTTGAGAGGGCAAAGTTGGTGTGGGGAGGGTTGGCTCATGTTTTGAGCATTAAAGGTTCTCTAGGATTTGTTGTTGCAGAAGAGGCCCAGATTTTATATTCCTTAATTGACATATGTCTTTTTCTGATTTCTGATCATTGGCAGACTGCCATAGGCCTCTTTGACAGTGTTGTTGAGACCCATCTTCTCTTGTTCACTGACAAGTTATCCCCGAACCATACAGAAAGAATCAACAAGTACCGTGAAGCAGCAATATTATTTCAAGGGAAGGTAAGTCTGAACATTCTGTGGAACTCCATGATATAAAGGAGTTTGGGGGAATTTCCAGCAAATGGAAATTATATACATTTTTGGTCAAACCAGCAGAGTTGTTGTTGAGTGATCTCCAAAACGTCCTGCCCTCAACTGCCCGGCTCAGCTCTTGTAAATTCGCCTGTGGTTCCTTTAGGGCCACAGTCCCCAACCCCCGATCTGCAGCCTGGTACTGGGCTGTGGCCTTGACTGGATCAGGCTGCGGAAACAGATCTCTCACCCCCCCCGCATGCACGCCCCCCCATGCACACACACCCATGCATGGATG